TCAAATCCGCAAAAGTCAAAGCCGCAAATGTGGAGGGATGAGTGTACTAGCACTTCTTTCTTGAAGAGCAATGGGAATCATGTGGCCCTTTGGTTATTGTTGGGTTGTGCTCCTCAACAGCCCTAGCCAGGATCGCTTCTAGGAAGGGATGCTGGGAATAAGAGTCCCACAATATCTGGAGTGTATGTGTGTGTGTGTGTGAAATACTGGACGTATTGTTAACATAATGTGAATTGCTACAACTATTTGAAAAATTAATAACATTTTAAAAAAACAGTCTCCATATGGGAGCATCACTAGAAAGTGTGGAGGGTGCAGATTGCACCAGGTGACACCCTAAGGAGGGGTTCCCCAAACATCTGCTTTTCGGCAGACATGGGCTGTGGCATTCGCCTGTGTCTCTTTAAAATGATAAAGAGATAGTCGAAATGGGGCAAGACTTAATGGAAGGGGAAGAGAGAGGCCTCAGATTTTTTTGAAAAATGTAAAATTAATAATAATAATAATAATAATAATAATTTAATTTTTTAAAGAAAATTAAAAACATTGCTATTTTAATTTTTTCTTAAAAACATCACGACAAATTTCAACTTTAACCACATGAAACTATGTACAGTGGTCCCTCTACATTTGCTGGGGTTAGGAGTGAAGGACCCCATGAATGTGGAAAAACTGCAAATTATATATATATATATATATATATATATATATATATATATATATAGTTTTACCTAAGAGTACATATCTCTAGGGATCTCCAGGTCCTCGAGTGCAAATCTATGCTCAACATCTGCCAGAAATTGTTCATAGGATCATGCTGCAGGACCTACAAATGCCTAGAGGAAGTGTTTTCTCTAGGAACTTGTAGGTCCTCCAGCACAACTCTATGGCCAACTTCCAGTAGAATTGCGCTGGAGGACTTAAGAGATTCCTAGAGAGAAGTTATTAATCAAAACTGCAAATAATCAAATGCACAAAAGTCAAAGCCGCAAATGTGGAGGGCCAACCGTATAATGTGAATACATTTAGGCTGTGCATGTGATATTTTAATTTAAAGGTATAGTTTTAATGTTGCTAGTTGTTTATGTCACAGCTATTACATTCAGTGATATACGTATGATGGATGAGTAACATTAGTAAAAAAATATTACTAAAGATTATTTATGGTGTAGTAGTTAGGAGGTCAATGGGGGGAACACACCATTAGTTACCGCACCGAGTAACACCAACTCTAGTGACGCCATTTCATGTAGCGATTTGAATGTGGGATTATGACCAGGGTTCAATTCCTGGCTCGATCAGGAAACCCAGTGAGTGACCTTGGGCAAGTCACATACTCTCAACCTCAGGGAGAGGCAACGGCAAACCTCCTCTGAACAAATCTTGCCAAGAAAACCCCATGATGGGTTTGGCTTAGGGCTATCATAAGTCGAAAGCAACTTGAAAGGCACACAAGATGACCAAACACAGCCTCCACATACACAAAAAAGGGAAAGCAGGTCATTCAAAATGAAGAAGGGTTATGTCTCAGAATAATACTTTAAAAACTTTCCTTTGCTCCTGCTCCGACATTATTATAGTATGCATTTAAAAAAAAAAAAATATATATATATATATATATATATAGTGTATATTATTTAAAAATTCAAAATTTAAATAATGTATTCAGGTCTTGGAAGCCAGACTTTTCTTGATGCAGAATGTCCTTGGTTAAAGTATATGGAACATGGTCCTTGATCTTACTTCATTCCATTAGTGTATGGGAAGGATGAAGAACCCAGCCCTCTAGAAGTTGTTGA